CTTCGGCTGAACCATGCATCAGTAGGGGTCCTTCTCCGGGGTAATCACTGTATGATGCAGCGACATGTCACCTTTTTTTGGTGTGTAGTCAGGTGTGTGTTTCGCACTTGCAGCACACCTCAGATGGGGCTGATCATGTTACAGGTGCCCAGTAGCCACCAGTGGCTCGTGGTCCACCACCAGCATGGTCCTAACTCAGCCGCCTGCTAGAAGGATGGAAGGACATGTGTCCTGCTCCGGGGCCTTTCAGTTTGGCCATGGAGAGGGTAGGAGGGGCTGACAGCTCCCAGGCAGAGCCGGAGGCACTTGAGCCACTCTGTTTATTTCACCCTCATGGGTCCCCCACTTCACTACTGGTCAAACTGTGGCTCAGAGAGGTTCAGTCACCTGTCCAAAGTGACCTGGCTGGTGTGGGGTACATCGGGGCCAGGGTGTGAGTGCCGGTGTGCCCGTCTCAACCCTTGTCCTCCCCACTTGGCCAGTGGTGGCCCCCACAGCACTTCGTTCTTGTGGGGGAGATGGAGCCACGGCTGAGGCTCCTAGTGGGGGAAGAAAATCGCGTTGGCTGATGGTAACTGTTTATTTCAGAGCACCGTTCCGACAGTGGATTGGTGTTCCTGTGGCAGAGAGGAGGCCGTGTTGTCCCAGGGCCCAGAGCTCGGCTTGCTGTGGAACCCTCTGCCTTCTTCCCCGTGGACATGCATAATCACCTTGCCCTACAGAAATGGCCCAGGGCTGTCATGGTGCTTTGCAATTTGCCCCCTCCCCGTGTGTTGGAGTGGACCTCCGTGAGGGGTGCTGATCCTTTCTTGGTGATGAGGGAGCCAGGGCCTGAAGAAGGGCCGTGCTGGAGTCCCCCAGCTATGGGGCTGTGAGAAACGGAAGCATTCAGCTATCGCCTCGTCCATCTAGGACGGCCTTAGCAGTCTTGTCTCCTGTTTTCCTCCCAGCTGTTCAGTTCTAAGCGAGTGGTTCTGTGACTCCCCATCTTAGTCTTAACCTGCTGAGGGGTGGGAGCCAGAACCACTCCCGGCGGTTGGTCCTCTCAGAAGGTACCGCCAGTGCCTTGCTCAGCACCTGTCTCCTTTGGTGGCATCTGGATCTGCACTGGTCTCTTTATCTTTGGTGTGAGGAAAGCTCTGTGATGACTCTCTTGGTCTCTCTCCTTGCAGTTCCCAGTGACCTGACTCCTGAGGAGCGTCAAGAGTTGGAGAACATCCGACGCCGGAAGCAGGAGCTGCTGGCTGACATACAGGTGGGAGAGCGGCCGGGGGAGCCGCGGCACGTTCTGTCTGCAGGAGCGTGTCCTGCTCGGAGTGTCTTCTCTGTAGCGTCCCCTCCTGCCCTGGGAGAGCAGAGTGTAGGTCTGACAATCCCCTCTACTTGCCATGAGAACTTGG